TTAAAGATTATGGTAATCAAGTTGAAAGCTCTACATTATTATTTTCAAACCATTTTTTAGTTAGTATAATAGTATATTTAGAGTCATTATCTTGCATAAAGATAATATCATTAGTATTTAATTCATAATACTGCATAGCCTTCATTAAGTCTTTATCTAATATTTGGTAATAAAGTACTGTATTAAGTTATTATTTATTTTACAAAGGTAATCTGTATTATAAGATAAAAATATCTCTAAACGAAAATGCTTTTATCACTAAATTTATTAATAAGTTTAACATGTATATCTTAAAGAGATTCTTCTACTTTTTTTCAACAATATTCATGTTTATTTGAACTAAATATTTGATATTTAGACTTATTTAACTATATAACATTATTCCATTCATTTGCTATCTAATCCTTATATCTTTTTGCAAATTTGAGACATTTTTCACATATTATTTTGATAAAAGTGATTTTTTCACTTTACTCGAGTTACCAAACCATTTCTTTTTAATGCATTATAAACAGTATTATTGCTAACTTCAATATTATCAGAAGTTTTTAAAGATTTTTGAAGTTAGTTTAAATATTTTATTATTATTAAACATTTTATAAAAGCTTGCTTATCCCATTCATTCAGTTTTATTTGATAAGATAAACCTAAATTATTTTTATCTTTATCTACTATTTTATATTTTTTTAAGTCTTAAAATAGTTATACAACTTTTATAACTAACTTTAGTAGCAATTTCTCTTGAAGTAAGACAACTTTCAAGCATTAAAATTACTTGTGCTTTTTATTTAGAAGTTAATTGAACCTTAATATAATAATAATAAAAAAGGTTTTTAAAAGAATATAAGTGTAAAGAAAGTGTTTATTATAAAATTTATAATTAACAGTGTAGTTGCCATAATTCTATTATATAAATTTATGACATTTTTGAGTTTGAAAGCTTTAATGTAACTTGTATCTTCTTGACTATTTTTACCACTTACTATTAAAAGGATTTGTTTTACAAATTAATTTTTAATTGCTAAGAATCCTTTTCTATACTTTGAGCATTACAATGTTATTATTATTCAAATATTCTTCTGTTATTATATTATTTTTCTTCTAACATTATATTTTTTCTTAGTATATTTCTTTTATTTTTAGTAAATTTAAGTTTTAAACCTCATATAGTTTTAGTAGTGTTAGTATTAATAGACTATCAAAATAATATATATATTACTTTTGCTATGAGTATTCAGAATACCATTTGAGTACTAGACATCAACTGTTTTATAGTTTTTGTTTATTTTAAATTATATTCTTTTTAAACTTTTTTTTATTATTTATTATTTCTTCTTGAATTCTTTTTTATATTATGTCTTTCTTCTGATAATATCTTTTCCATAATTTCTTGGATTTCTTCTTTTAATTCTCTTTTTCATTAAAGTTATTTTACTTGTACTATTCTTTCTTATAATATTATTATTCTTCTGATAACTATTTCTTATATTGTTATAATTTCTCTGGTAATTATTTCTTATATTACTTTCATTTTTATTTATAATTCCTTATTTTTATTTCTTCATTATTTTATTAATATCATTCTAAAATTTTAGTTTATAAACAAGCAAAATAACTTTATTTATTTTCAGGATTTAATTGTTTAACGACTAATCATTGCAAATAAAAGTATTCATTTTATTTGTGTTAAAATATTTGTTTATTAAAACTGATTTCTCAACAACTATTGAACTGTTCTTTATAATTTTTGAAATACGAGTTCAAAATCACTAAAATAACTGAATTTTGCATTTATTTTATTGTAGTCTTTCTAATAAAAAGTTAAAAATGCATGATTTTACAAACCTGATAATTTATTTAAGTTTATATTAAGAATTAGGCAAAAAACATATTTTAAAATATTCTTTGAGATTCAACCTTTAAAACAAATATAAATGCATATTACTAGCTATGGTGATTTATACTTTAAATTTAATGTAAAATGATACATAACTTTTGAGAGTCTCTGATATTTCCTTATTTTAATATCTTTAATGTGTTGTAATAATTTTGTAGGATTAACATTTAATAAAATTAATTCTGTAAACAGAGCGCTGATGATTGAGACAGTATACTGATTTAATTAAAGAATTTTGCATAATTATTACATAATTAAATCCTTCTACTGTATTATACATTCGTTTATAAAAATAAATACTAAAGAACTGATTGCAATAATAGTTTTAAACAATAATTAATAATCAAATTAATTAATAAATGATTATATTAAGGATAATGCTACAAATAAAGATTTCTTTTTTTTCTACTTAATAATTGATTTGCATCTTAATACTAATGAATATTAACCTTATTGTTTTTTAATCTTTCTAAAATAAAAGGATTTTCATCTTTATCTTCATGTGTCTCCATCATCATGATCACTTAACTTTAAAATGCAATGCAAATTAGAAAAATAATACATTTAACAAAATAAAAGTTGATTAAGATTTACATCAAAATTTACCAAATTATCAGCCTTCCTTTTTCTCAGTTGAATCCAATGATTTATTATTATAATAGTTTTCTACATTTAGTTTTGATAGATATATTTGTCTTTTTAGATTTCCTTTCTCATAATCTTCGCTAGTAGATTTGGGAAAGAACCAATTATGAAATTCAAATTAAGATATTAACAGGATTTTATCTTTTTTATAGTGATTTGTTACTATCATCCAGAAAGTCAATATCTTCTAAATTGCTTATATATTTTTCTTTTATTTTTTAATACTGTATAATGTAAGTATTATTTGTATATACTTTTTGTAATAACTAAACTAGTAATTATATAAGCTTTTATATTAAATATACCTCTTTAAAATCAAACTTTTTATTATTATCAACAAGGCTTCATGTTTAATTATCATTATTACTTTCATTTTTATGATGATTTAATACTTGTCAAAAAATAATAGCTTATAATAAATTTATTTTTATTCTATTAAAATGGTTTAATGTTAATAAATCCAAAAAACAGTATTTTTAAAGTTGACATGAAATAGAGTTTTAACAAAGTCATTATGAGTTGTAAAATATCACTTTTTAGTCTAATCAAGAAGTATAGGTGGTTGAATCCAAGTCGTATTTCATCAAAGGACTATGATCTCACAAATTTATCTACTATTAAATCAAAATAAAATAATATACTACTGAAATAAAGCAAGTGCATTTCCAGCATTCTTCACTTTGTAGGTCAGTTTCTTATTAATTATGATTGAAAGGTTGCATGCTTATATTTTTTGTTGAACTGAAAATCATGCACTTTTGGTGGTATAGCAAGAAACTAAACAAGGTATAGCTAGGGTTAAAAGTGAAGTATTTAGGATCTAATTCTTTTGATTTCTTGCAAGTATATATAAGAAGAATTAGTAAGAAAGGTATAAATTTTCAAAATATGGTATACTAGGAAGAGATACCTTCAGGTTCTAAATTTTTAGCTTTATCTAAATTTGAAAGTTTTTTTTTTATATTTAATTTTTTTGTTATGATACTCAAAAAAAAATTTCAATAAAAATGAAAAAAAGTATTATTTTGAAAATCTTTGAATGGAATAAAAAAAATTGTTATTAATTAGTTAGTTATTTTCAAATTCCATTAGTAAAGCTTTCTACATACAAGACAAGATAATTTTTTTATATTTTTTTTTACAAATTTATAACATCAAATAGTAACAATAAAGGTAATAATTATAATAGAAAAACTTTAAAAATATTTTCATCAAACAAAAATATGAAGATAGCTCGAATGAGTTTATTTGATGATTTTCTTAAAATTTTTTTTTATGTATTATTAACCATATTTAATGTTATAATAATGCGTGCATAGAAATATATAGTCCTTCACTTACGCTCCGGACTAATTATAATCGAGTAAGAATTGTGTAGACGGATGAGGAAATTGAATTTTTTAATTGATCAAAGGGATGGGCAGGAATGAGAATTATTGAATCTTGAGTTGTGGAGAAAGGATAGAATTAGAAGATGAAAGTAAAATAAATTAATTTTTTGGAATAGAATTTGCAGGGAAGGATAAGTAAGAATCAAGTAAAAAAATTTAGTTGGGAGCATACTGTAAGTGTATTATTATATATTTATTAATAGTTTTTATTTTTAGGATCAAGTAGCATTTAGGTTTTCAGATCGAAGAGGCATAATACACGTAATAGGAAAATTTATTATGAAACCTTTCGCAAAGAAATGCCAGGTAACAATTAGTTATAATCAAAATTTATATATTTTTATATTTTAGCATCTATTAATGAGCAGTTGCTTCGAGAAAAAGCAATTATTTGAAGAGGGTAAAAGAATCGACTTTTTTTGCATTCATTTACATGTTTTTTTTTTAAAAAAAATTTGTTAATTATTATGATGAATTTTATTACGACCGCGATTAGATAAAGGCTGGATCAGGGAGCATGGAAAATATTTCCACCTATCGTTTTCCATTCTTTTTCGTTTATGATGTACTTTCATGATAATTTTTTCTCTCGCTAATACTATTTTGGTAATCCAAAATATCTAGAATATTTATATGCTCACAATCAATAATAATGCTATCTACATGTAGTGACGTTATCCTAATTATACTCTTTTTATCTTTTATGTTTAATATCTTGTAGGCTCAAACAAAATAAAGTGATGTTATTCCATCATGTCATGTTATTGAGAATCAAACGATTATTGCAAGAGATTGGTGTATAACTAAGAAATGGGTTTCAAGTTTTTGCAACGAAAAATCATAACAATAAGAATTTCTATTTTTATTATTAAGAGTTCTTCAAATAAATTTAGATATCATACATATAATGTAAATGAGATTTTAATAGCAAAGCTCCCCATGTTTATTAATTTTTTCAGATACAAGAAGTCGTGAATAGTAAATAAAAAATATAGTTTGCGTTAGAATCATCAATGTAAATATACCCTCCATTCACACACTAGATTTATTAATTATTCAACCCACAGTTACCATTTAATTATAAACTTCACTCCCTTTTCAACCTTGACTTCTTTTAGTGCCCTTTTACTAATTTCAAACATCCTTTTAATCCTATTTATTATATTCTCAGGCCCAGAATACCCTCTATACATGAAATCCACAGTTAATGAATCATTATTACAATATAATAAAAGTTGTTTCAACTGGTCAAATCTAATTTCACCTTCAATTGAAAGAAATATTAAAGAATTGGGAAGTATTTCTGTAAATTTAGAAATATAATTTCCTTCTATATACGTCATTTTTACGGTAATTGTTTGAATTCCTGGACAACAAACAAAGATGGTTTTAAAGCAATCAAATGCGAATACGGTAAAAAAAATACTATCTAAATCTGCCCATATAAAAGTAATATTCGGACAAAATGAAGAAATCGACGTATAATATGAGTTATTCGCAATTTTACCATTACACTTTAATTTCCTCAATGTTCTACCATGATTCTTTAAAAGGCTGGGATAAAGGGATTCATCATCAATTAATCGATTACTGTATAGTTTCATAGTTAGAGACAATAAGTTTGGTATGAAAATTGTCTTCAAACATTCCGCTTGATTTAAAGAAAGATCAAAATTAACAATATGCAAGTCTTCAAGTTTCGATAATTGAGATAATAGGGTAAAATCGACCTTTTCCTCATAAATCTTTTGTACAGGAATTATTGCCAAGTACTTTATAGAATTTCTGGGTAAACCCAATAAAATAGAATACCATATTTTCATGCCATTAAGATTCAAATGCAAATATTCCAAACTTTTTTGAGCAACAATGAATGCCACCATTTCTTTTGCCAATTCCACACATTCTTGCAAATCATACATAATAGAAAGTTCCATGATATTTCCTGTAAAATTTGATAATTCAGTGAAAGGAAAGTTAAAATTACCATCAAGATACATCTTTGTGATTTTGCTATAAGAGATTTGTGCTTCTTGTAATATGAAAATATTTTTGAAAATATTATTCATAAAATAATAACACATCGAATCCAACCTATTAGAACTTATAATATTAAGTTTTTCCAGTCCCTTTGTTCTTGTAAGGATCATTTCATAAATTGCTTTAACACAACTTGTTATTTCGTTCTGTGCTTTAATCTCAATCGACGGTGGTAGAGAGTTACGGTGTTTCATAATTGGAATCAAAATTCTTTTTGGATAAGTTTGGTATAACCACCAGTGAACGGCGGTAAATAAGGCACAAATATCAAGTTTTTGAATAAACCATCCATAGTCGAAAGTAGTTGATTCTGGAATATTTTCAAGTTTTAAATCGGCCTTTATTTCCAAAGGGAGATTTGAAAGAAGAATAGGGACAACTTTTGACATCCTTTTTGGATGAAAATCAAAACTAAATGGGCTATTCCAAATAAAAGCGACAGTACTTTTGCACCAACTTTTATTTACGAGCAAAGATGAATGTAAAGACTTGAGATCATCAACATCTTTAAGGATAAGCTGAAAAGTTTCGAGCGGAAGTATAAGCGTCATGAGTAATGTGGGAAAGGTTAAAAATTTTTTTAAAGATTTAAGATAAGATAATGTGCTTTTTATCCATAATGCAAATTGTTTGTAGTACACACACGTTAATATGATGTCATATAATTATTAAAAATTGCCAGATCATCAGCTGCATTGTAAAAAGGTTACTGCGTCGCGTCGAAATTATCAAGCATAGATATTTGATTTTTAAAGTTTGATACAACTCGATTGAAGTGAATGTGGTTATTTTTTCTTAATAAAATTATGGTCAATATATCTAATATTCTTTTTAATGAAATGAAAATGTTAAAAAAAAAATATTATTAGTTATTGTATTAATTGGAATTAATTTTAAATTTTGAAAATTTGAATCAATCCCCCGTTACACAATTTTTTTTAAGTATATTCATGTAATTGTGCTATTATATTAATTTTCATTTTTTTTTTTTAAAAAAAAAAAAAAAAAAAAAAAAAAACTCTTGAATTTTTTTTACAAGCTTTTTGGAAATATTTTTATATTTCATTCAATATTACTTGAACATAAAATATGTTTTTAGTACTAGTAGTCGTTACATTTAGTATAAATTTAGATACATAAAAAAATACCAAAGTTTTGTCAATTTTTATTGCATTATTTAATTGAGTGCCGTAAATTATTATTTTAAAACAACAATGCATCAGTTATTTTAAAAGACAATAATTATAAAATTGAATAAATTATTTGGGTTCTATTAAAAAACAAATTATTGATATTTGTTAATTCTTTCGGCGATTTGATTTAATATTAACATTGAGAATTATCAGCGCACACTCCGAATCTTTGTATTAAAATCACGTTAAGAATCGTATGATCACCCATTTGCTCTAATCAAAACACAATCTGTGTAGAATCTTAATGATATTAGTCACGATCATAAGCAAAACCTGAAGAAACTGGTTCATGTAGAATCAAAATTTTTCATTAGAAAATCCGTTAATGGTTGTTTACCAGGCACAATCTCTAACATGATCATTTCAAGAGCATAAATTTGGAGCGTTATGAAAGTTCTGATAATGTAAGGTAAACAACCATCGATTTTTTTCTTTCATCTATCAATATGATTAGTTGTATATAAGAAATATAAGAAATTGCTCTGCCTAATCAAAACTGAGATAAAATCGGTCTAACTCAGTAAATATTTTGGGCGGCTTATTAAATTTCCTTCCTCAATAATTCATTACTATTGCAATATTTGGATTACTTCTCCCATACTCTTTGGGATGAACGTAAGTCCGAAAGTCTCGATCTTAAATAATTGCATGTTAGCAGATCAAAAGTTTACATCTAAATTTTCTGTTAATAAAATGAAATAGGTTTACATAAAGAATTATTGTGATACGAGCTATATCTCATTCATTGCAGATTTTCTTCCAAAAATGTTAATTTTTTTGATCAGGACTTCTTCATAGCATAGTCTATATCCTTCAGAAGAATGTCAATCCACGTGGCTGTATAAATGGATTATAATCCCCGTTAGGAAATGCTTGAGTCTCAAAAGCTTTGCTATTCCCCGCTCATTCGCACTCCGAACTCTTTTCCTAATTTCCTAATGGCGCATTATGTACACCAAAGAGTCCCCATTGAGTCGCAAGGTTTCTCGCATTCTGCGTAATCTTAGTAACATTTACCTACTGAACGAGTTTATGGGTTTGTCATCTTGCGCTTCATGTAACAAATGATAATATTTATTATATAAGCTTTATTATTATGCAAGTGATTTAATACCTTGTGAGAAAATGTAGAGACTTACCTGAGATAAAAAGGTCAACTTTTCTCTTTTAATCAGAAACAACAGCGTAACTTAGACTTGTGACTGTAGATATTATGAAAATCGGCTTAATCGCTGGCTTTTTACTGTCATAAAATATATTATCAGCCAATTTTCCAAAAAACACAATTGAAGTAAAGACGAAATTCCTACAAAAGGGACATGTGAATCTAATTGTTCAGCAAAATCTTACAAAAATCTGCTTCGTGTGCAACTTTCCCGATTTAATCGTGATAAAACCTGATTATTGCACCTTGTTTCAAAACTTCATTTGCTACACTAGCAAACCGGATAACAAGATTGTGCCCAAGGATAACAGGATTTGGATTATAGCCAAAAAAATTAATTGTGGTTGGGAATTGTCACCGCAACTTTAAAAGTCGGTAAGTGGACTTGATGTTTTCGTAATTCCAATGGTGTTGATAATACGATTAAATTTTTTTTTTGTTTGGTTTCAAAATAAATAGATCTTAAAAAAATTCTTTTATTTCTGTTGAAAAGCAGAAAACATTTTTATATTTACAATAAATGAGAATCAAAAACCTTTTCAATAATAATTAGAATTTAACTTACATCATGTCATGTATACCAGGAAAAAGGAAGGAAATTATAATGAAAAAATAAATATTTTATATAATATACAAATATAAATTTTTTTTTAGTAAAAGTCGTTAATGGCCATGTATAGGAAATCATTCGATCGTGTTCTATTAGTTTCGGGGCATTGTGTGCCATTTTTGTTTAAGCTTAATTTTAAGTTTTTGTTAATATTTAGTTAGACTTCTTGTAGATCAATGGACTAATTGTCCTCTGGCCAAATTGCCTACCGGCCAATTTGTCTCCTGGCCAATATGCCATCCGGCCATTATGTTTCGAGGACAAAAAGGCCTCTGAACAATTCGTCCTTGCTGGGTTTTAAGTATAAAAGAGGTGGGATTTCGCTCGAGTATAAAAAAATGTTCCCTAGATAATAACTATAGATAACATTAGTATATCGGTATAGCATATATCCCTTTCCTTTTATTTGTAACGAATAACGAAAGTGTATAATAAATTACGTATCTGATCGTATAGAGTGCCGAAGATTGTGGCAATACCTTATTTACGTAGATTTATGTTAGGTTTTCATTTGTTATTAATAAAGTTTCGAACTGCGTGTAACACTATATATACGAAATTGCCGAAATTTCTATATATGGGAACCACCACAGCAATACTACGGGTGGCGATAAGGAGATCACGTGATTTTGAGAAATTCGCAATTTAAATTACGCAATTAATTGGTCGATTATCGTAAAATAATTTTCAAAAACAATTTTCATAACCTAAGACGACTTTTTGCAAGTAATCATTTGAGTAAATTAGCCTTCTTTCAATGTATTTATTTTTATTTAAATCATAAAATTGGTATAATACATAGACTTAATAAAGTTTGTGTAATATTTCGCAAAAAACAATTATTTTAAAAATTACCTTTCTTGAGATTTCAAATGTTTATAAGTATAAAAACAATAATAAAAATGCAATAACAACATCAATAACGAAAGCATAAGTAAAAATAAGCTTATTTGTTAGTCTAATTTTCTTCTGAGCTACTTGGTATAGGACAAGTAATTTCACGAAATAGCGCAATTTCCTTATACAATTCCTTTTTCAAAGTAAGTGATCTAACACGAATTGTAGAAGGCAGAAAATTAAAATCAAAGAAAAGTTGCGAATGGTAGCCTTTTTATAGTCATCTTCAATCTGTTCTTTATAAAAACCAACTCCGGGGTAAATTGATTTTTTATTTCATTTATTTTATTAAAAATAAATAAATTGTATTGTTTTCTTATTGTGGTTAGTGATAGACCTTGATTTGACCATTGGAAAGGTATATAAATTCTGTATTTTTTTCCAAATCGAAAGAAGATGGTAATGATCCTTGAGTTTAGATATTTCCCTTAGAATAGTTTTTATTTAGCAGTGATTCGCAATGATCTACATTTAATAAAATTGACTGCCAGAAAGAAGTACAATAAGCAACAGTATTTAATACTCCGAAAAAACATAAAAACATATTCTATTTTTGTATACTGTGAAGTTTTAAAGTTTTTTTTTGATGGCATAAAATCTAACAGATTACACCTTCCAGGGGTTTGTACATATAAAGGTTTTATTGAGTTGATGAAAGAATGATGTAAAAATGAATTAGGTTTCGTACTAGCAGCCGAAATAGCTAGCAAAAATTTAGTGTAGTGAATTAATTGTAAAGCTTTTCATTTGTTTTTATTCAACCGCAGTAATAACAGCAGTTCGAATTTTTTATAAGCTATATTTTATATTTATAAATTTTAAGAATCATAAATTAATTTCTTCTATATCTATATTACATTTATAATCTATTCAGATCACAGTATAAATGTGATGTGACGTCATTAAAATTTTTGTAAAAAAAGTTGATTGAGGAATTGTGTTTAGAAGAAAAGAAATGATGAAACCAGCAGAATAAGAAAGTATGAAGAAATTTGAGGAATACAAGAGGATTGGATGTACAGTCAAACCTCTATATAACGATATGTCGGGACATATAGATTTTTTTTTTAAAAATATCGTTATATCAAATTATAACGATATTTATATGACCTCAAGTATAGTGGGTAAATAACATTTTATCGGTATATAAAGTTTTTAATAGTATATCGGTATATAGAATATCGGTATATAGAGGTCCGACTGTAAAGAGTATAAAGGGAGGAAACTCTAAAAAAATTAAATTCTTAGTCTTGGTTACCTTACTTTCCCTGTGATATCAATAGCAGGAATAGAACGTAAATGAATAAAGTGCCAAACTAATAGAAATTGAATGGGCGAATATATTTTTATTACGCATTTTGTCTCCTTGTTTTCATTCTACTAATTCTTATTGTAAATAAGCTCTTTGTTCTTTTCATTCTTCAACTCCTTTTCTAACTCAATTAATATTCTTATTTACCACTTTAATTAGTAATTTCTTCGATCGTCGTCATTTTTCGTAATTAAGAAAAAAAAATAATCAATAAAGGGCTTTTGTCGCGTTAATTTCCATTAAAGTTTTGTCATACAACCAACCAAATGACTAAATATATAGAAGATCAACATGATGTAATTTTTGTGCTTTTGGTCATCGAGATTCGACGCGAAAGAATAAAAAAAAACATAAAACTCGAAAACTTAAATAAATAATTATTTAATTATTTAAAAATTTTTTAATAACAATTGATTTTACATTCTTTAAGATGGAAGACAATGTAGAACTTAATGAAAATAGTTCCCATGCTTCCTACCCAACACTTTCAACTTTTACACAATCAAGCCCCATTAGCATTCCAAATCCAACACGTCTTTCACGTCCTGCTTCTCCACATCTTCATCATATGTCAAAAATCCATATACGTGGCACTCCTTCACCTCCTATGGAATCCTCTACTAGGTATAACATTTCGACAAAACAGCACACGCCAGAAATTATAGTCCCAAAAGAAGATTCTTCTCCACCTGAATCAAAAAGACGTAACTCGTCATTTTATCAAGAATTATCCATTCGTCTAAACCAACCTGTAGGTAGTATGTCCATTTCACCATCAAGTCGTGATGTTGTACTGGCAGCGTATGTATTTTTTTTGATAATCATTACAATATTTTTATTTTATGGCTGATTTATTGTGTATTGAATTCATTTCATACAGTCGTAAAGGACTTTTTATTATTGATCTCGAGAATCCGTACGAACCTCCGCGTGAACTTCATCATTTAACCAAATGGGAAGTAGCTGATGTACAGTGGAACCCCCATCAATGCCGTAGTACTTGGGTTGCTTCTACGGTAAAGTTTTAACACCTCATCATAATTGTCTAATATCTTTCATCTTTATATTAATTTCCAATTATATGGTTATATATTAGTCTAATCAAAAAGGTCTTATATGGAATTTAGCACTTCCATCATCCAATGCCGTAGAACATATTCTTCATGGTCATAGCCGCGCTATAAGCGATATTAATTGGCACCCTTTGCATCCTGATGAGTTGGCCACGTGTTCTGTAGATACTTATGTACATCTATGGGACTTAAGAACACCGAAAAAACCAACAATGTCATTCTGTGCCTGGACTGGTGAGTGACTTTACTTTTCATTTTGGATTTTTCTTAATTATTTCTAACGAACTTATTAATGAATATTTTAAAGCGGGTGCAACACATGTCAAGTTCAATAAAAAAAACGAGTATCTATTAGCTTCTGCTCATGATCGAGATCTATTAATATGGGATACGAGAGTATATTTCAACATAATTTATGGAAATATTTCTTAAATATATTTAATATACATACGTAACTTTTAATTCGATTTTTTTCAAAAAGAAAGGATCGCTTTCTATAACTAATATCAGGGCACATACAACTAAAATCTATGGAATTGATTGGAGTAGAAAGAGCTCGGACAATATAATTACTTGTAGTCTGGATAAATCCGTGAAGGTTTGTTCAGATATTTGTAATTTGAATAGTTATATTTATATGTTAATTATACATATGAATGTAGTTCTGGAATATAAATAATGATGTCTGTCAAGGTGTTATATATACAAATTCACCAGTTTGGCGTGCAAGGCATACAGTGAGTTTGAAGTGAATTCTTATTCCTTTAATAATTAATCTTCAATCAAACTAATTACATTTGTTATGCTAGCCAGTCGGTAATGGTATTCTAACCATGTCTCAGCGATCAGAAACAAGTTTATATCTTTGGAATCAGGAAAATCCTCAATTCCCTGTACATGCTTTTGAAGGGCACAGTGATGTAGTCAAAGAATTTGTCTGGCGAATTAAAAGCGATGGTGACTCGATTATTGGTAATTACCTTTTTTTTTTTTAAAAAAAAAAAAAGGCATAATAAGCATAAAAGTATTTCAATATGATTACGAACTACGTTGATAATTTTGTTTTTAGATGATAGAGAACTTCAATTAATTACGTGGTCTAAAGATAAGCATTTACGTCTATGGCCGATAAATGATGAACAATTAAAGGTAGCTGAAAAAAAAATTTTTTTTTAAATTAATTTTATAACATTAATTTAAATTATGTGAAAAGGCAATTGGGCATGAAAGAGGAAGGCCTAGAAGTCCAACAGACCAGCTTACATCAACGGGACATTCTACTTTCACATTTCGGGACCCACCGCCAACTAATAATCATTCAGCCTCACCTACTCTGTCAACATCAGCATCACATTCCTCTCTTCGTGTTATTCCAGGAAATCGCATGAACACAACTACCACTTTGCGTCCTTCCGGGGCTTCAACTGGAGGAGGAAATATTAAAAGTTATATGGGAGCCGCTGCTGGGATGTATAGAGCTGAGCGACATTCTTTATCACCTTTGTTGTGGATGCAGAACGTGAGAATGGTAAAACCTAGTGGAGAGATTGGTAACGCTGAAGATATTCCAACAAATATGCATGAGGAATGGGCTACGGTTTCGAAAAAATTTTCAAATGTCAAATTTGAAAAGGTAGTTGTAATTTGGTCTAATCTTTTCATATTATATTAAAAATAATTTAAAGTTTATTATTTTTATTTAACAGCTTAATGTGCAAGGAAGGAGTTGCACTATAAGTTTACATGGACCTTGGTCTGATAGTGGGGTTGCGTTTATACGCATCAATATAACATTTCCTTCGCAATATCCTGACAAGGTTGCTCCAATTTTTGATATTCAAAAAACTGGGATGATCTCTATAATGAATAGAACTCATATGTCACAAATTTTAAACCGCATAGCCAGTTCGCATGTATCCCAAAAAAGACCATGCCTCGAAGCTTGTATTCGTTATTTACTTGGAGAACATCCTGATGATGGTCAAGAACGATATGGGAGAGATGATTCGGATGATGAAAATTACATAAATTCTACTAGAAGAACATCTTATGATAAAAACTTGACCTACATTCTTGGAGATAAGGATTATGATAATAATATTCCTTTTCCAAAACTATGTGGTGCAAAATTTTGTGTTACAGGTAAATATACAACTCAATTGAAGTTATTTTATTAATTTTTTTTTTTTCACTCGATCAATTTTATTTACCTTTGGAATTCTAGGAAAGCTTGTATGTTTTTTTTCAAGTTTACGATCTCCTGACGCAAGTAATCCTGTTACACCTGTTAGATCAGGTGGTAATTCTGGAACCATTCGTGGGAAAACTAGTTATATATATACACATCCTAGGTCATATGATTCTTGGGAACAGTACAAAATGATTTCACGGTTACCAAGACCCGTTACACGCTATGGAGCAGATGGTGATGATTCATCTTACGAAGTAGATGATGACCAAGATGATTTATTACTGTATTTCAATCCAAAGGTGCTTTTTATTTTTTTTTATTTTAATACTTAAGGAAGAAAGAAAAAAAGACATATATTACTTTGTTCAACTGTTCATATCCTTTTATTAGAGTGGACTACGAAACAATGCTCCAGATTCATCCACGTTAGCGGGGCATGTTATTCATACTTACGATTTTTCAGAATGGATGCCAGTTAATCGAAAACTGGCAATGGAATATATGTCAGTACAAATAAAATTCAGCATAGTGATTACTTAATTTGTAACTCATAATATTAATTTTGGATATTGTTTTAGTCTTCATGGAGATAATCCGGTTGAGATTTGTAAATACAACGCTCAAGTAGCGGCAGACAACGATCGACCAGATTTGGAACAAGTCTGGTTACTTGCTTCTTTAATACTAAGTCAAACTGTTTCAAAAAAAAAACTTAAGAATTCCTTAGTTAGTGATGATATTATTCCAATTGAACGAATTTCAGGACCTTATCAGAAATCTGCAAATAAAAGAAAGGATATTAGGAATGAATATGATTCATTCATGGATGAAGCGGTTCACAAATTTTTCGGAAGATTGGATTGGGGATTCCATCCATTTGGAAAGGGTCTTGCAATAGACATGTAAGTTAAATTTTTTTAATTATTGATATACCGTATATTATTTTAATATATTACATTAAATTATATTTCACTATGCCTTTTCTCATATTAGGCTTAATCACTTTGTTTCAATAGGCGATATACAAACAGCAGCAATTTTGTCATGCGTTTTTAGACAACCTTTCCCTCCTCATCGAAAAATTATCAAAGTAAAAGAAATTCAACCTTTAGTAGGTGTTATACTTTTAAATTGAATAAACTAAAAATAGAAAATTTATTTAATTCATATCCTTTTTTCACATTAGATCTCATCAGAATTAGAAATTAATAATATATCCAGTAGCACGGATTATTTTAATTATTATGCACGTTATCCAGAAAAACAAAATCCATATCAAATTGGGTTTTCATCAAATTCTGGAGCAACATTTGTCGAATCATTTAATTCATCAAAAAGTTCTTGGGGAAATTATAATAATCAACCAGAAGTGTTTGGTTATATTGCTAATGCGGGTACTCCCCCGACCCCATCCGGATATATATATGGACATTCCGAAGGTGCTGGTGGGCCTATTATGGTACCTTCAGCTAGTCATACTTCACATCATCAAAGGAGGTCAACTTTTGGCGGTATTTCGAAAGAAGCGAACTTTTTTTCTTCAAGTTTTAGTACTACTGCATCACCACCAAAAACTCCAAAGAGAGATAGTCCAGTCGCAATTGGATTCACCAGTCATTTTGGATGGGGAACTATGGGAGTAAATCATGGAAATGAAAGGCTTGTCGAAACTTCCTCGAAAAAGTCCAGCGATCTAACATTTATTCCTTATAATCTTGAAGAATTTGATGATGAAAGAAGGTAATAAATTTATTTTTAGAAAGTTGAACCTTTAAATTGAATATTAATAGAACTTTTATTTAATTTTAGGCCACTTCAAGTTGGTTTATTAGATGATAAAAGAACAACAAATGCAAGGCATGATCAAGTTCGTCTGGCTTATGCAGAGATATTATATCATTGGGGTTTATTTGAAGCAAGGACAGAGGTTTTAAAATTTATGAGATTTGTAAAGACAACGATTGGTAGCCCTCTTGGGGAACAACATGAACCTTTAGGTAATTTTTGTATTGGGTCAATTAATTGTTTATTTCATTTTTTCCGTTTTTCTTACTTTTATGTGCTTTAGAAATCGGCATACATTGTTTCCAGTGCGGTATTGAACTTAAGGGTCATTATAAGTGTGGAAATTGTCTGCGTAAGAGAGCTGGTATAAAATGTTCAATCTGTCATCAAACTATTAGAGGTATTTCTTTATTAAATATTTTATTGGCTTATAAGTTAATATATAATAATGTAATTTTTAATTTGTATGGACAATAATAGGGTTGTCAAATTTTTGTTTAATTTGTTCACATGGCGGACATACAAAGCATCTTCGTGAGTGGTTTAAAGAAGGAAATAAGGAATGTCCGTCAGGTTGCGGATGTCAATGTATGATAAAGAATGGTGGGTTTGGATTTGATGAAGATAAAATGTAAGGTTGCTTGCTATCTAAAGACATTTATGAAAATCCAGAGTATTTAATATTGAAAATTTTTCATACTCTATATATATTTATTTAACCTATATACATATAAGTCATATGTTAGATAACAAAAAAAAAAAAAAAAATCTTTATTCATCCAAAATTTTGGAATCGTATTGATTAAATTACCCTCCTTTCCCTCTTTTTTTTATGATTCATGTATTTTTATGAACTTTTGTTGTACAATAAATGATTAATTATTAAGAACGCGTTTGTGTAACGTAACACAAAATTTATCTGTTAATTTTTAATATACTAAATATGGATTTTTTTTTATTCATTTAAATAATGATTTCCATCTCTTTAAATGGTAATTCGTATATAAAAAATAAGTTCATTTTGAAAATATTATCAAATGCTTAATATCTTTACCATTTCATCAAATTCCTTGATTATTAATAGCTAAAGTATCAATTTATTAAATTTATTAATCGAACGAAATGACGATTTCGTTTTCTTCAAATATTTGTCGATGGCGCAGCAACATCAATCCAATTTCCCTTTTTTTTTTAATCAAAAACGCGAAAAACTTGACTTGTTACATTTCACGTGTGTATGATTATCAAATATAGTGCATGTAAAAATCAAAAATTCACAAAGCTTGAACATTCATGCTCATCCAAGTATTTCTTCAAAAAAAAAAAAAAATTAATTAATTATGTGGACATTAGAAATTCCAACACAAATATCATTTCCGTTGTATATTTGTTTGTTAATAATATGGTTATTAACGTTCATAGGTTTATCAATGAGAGTACCAACAACAAAACTACGTTATATTACATTGATGATAATATCAATAACATTTATTCTAATCCCATTGAAATTTGGAAATCAATTTTCTTGTATATATCATTTACCTATACCAGTAACAATATTTGGATGTTTTTTTAAAATGTTGATTTGGTTAAAAAAATGTAAACAAAAAAATGTTAAGGAAATCCCACCATTCTTTTTAACATTATTCTTTTGGAGAAAGGATTACATCAACTCAACGAAATCAAATAAAAATTCAATGACAAAAAAAAAGTTGAAATCTTATTTAATTCAAAAATCAATAAAATTGTTCTTTAGATTTTTATTTCATGAGTCATGTCTTTATTTTTTAGAAACATTTCCACCCACGATACCCGATCGACCATATCCACTTCGAATAATTGATTACTTTATGTTAAACAAAAACACATTCATCGTCACCCCATATACATTATTTTATTGTTATGTTTATGCCGGATTTCTTGCTCATAATATGGATTACGCATACAACAGATTTCTTACGATAGCCGCTTTAATATTATGGTACATACAAAAGAATTCATCCAACAAAAATTCTTTAGAAAACTCCAAAATTGAATTAATTAATCAATATCTAACATCTTTATTATTTGATACACCACCATTATTTAATCAACCTTATCTTTCCATTTCACCATCAGATTTATGGGGAAGGAGATGGCATCAAATCTTACGTGAATGTTTTTTTGAATTAGGTTATTTACCAATTCGTTCCTTATTCCCCAAACATCAATTATTAGGTCATGACATAGGATTAATTGCAAGTTTTACTTGTAGTGGAATCTTTCATGAATATTTAATAACTACATTATTCGGAAGGTTAACTGGTGAACATTTCACTTTTTTTGTGTTTCATGGAGTAATGGTAATCATTTGGGAAATAATTTGGTTACCAATATCATCAAAATATATCAAATCTTTTATGGATAAGAGATTGGTAGCCTTTTTGATTTGGAATAGTATTTTAATATTTAGTACTCCTTGGTTTATTGAACCATACATTCGTTCAAATCATTTTCATTGTATTAGCCATTTATTGTGTAATAGGTGAAGTCCGAACTATTTGAAAGTGGAAATCCAAAGAACAAAAATATTTTAGAAAAAGATTTTGTAGAATTTTAGACACTTTTTTTAAAAAAAAAAAAAAAAAATCGTATACCAATGAACCATGTATAACCGTGATTGTACGTATGCTTTATTAAATTCCCAATAACATAATAAATCCTATTAAAATAAATGAAGAAACTTGTAAAGGAAAAGAAAATATGACAAAGAACGAAAGAATTTATTCTCTCATTGAAATTAAAAATTTGTAATTCATATTAATCATCAAACCTGTACCGTTTGGATGGAAAAAAGTGCATATCAACCATAAAAATATATATATTCACACACATTACAAGATATGTTAAATGCACATGACAAAGAACTAACTATATTACTCGTCATTTACTGTAATAAAACGTTATTTGATGAAATTTGATGATATATATATTTTTTTTTCAACTTTCAAAATCGTAAATAAAATTCAATAATAAGAGTCGACTCGGATAAATTAATTTCGCGGTCGATTTATGAGAATGAGTTCTCATATTTATCAAGCTTTTATGGTTGTCTAATTTTGGTTACATTAAATATTTTTTTATGTCCTCCCCCAATGGATTCTTCCAGCAAAGACTAATTCGCTATTGAATTGAATTTGTTTATAAAGTTCAAAAATCAACCTCTTTGAAAATAAATTTGGGCTCTTCACTTATTGAAAAATTTGAATAAATTAAATATAAAAAAAACAAAGAAACACTTCAGATCTTTTTAAATGGATTTATATTTTGAGGAATTCAACCGAGGAATTCTCTACAAATTGTTACAGGGAAAATACCTTAAGCTTTTGTTTTACCAGGGAGCGCCATTGCTTTACCAGGGTTGTACTTTGCTTTACCAAGGGGGCGTTTTGCATTGCCAGGGTTATAGCATTCTTTACCAAGGATTGCGTTGCACTACCAAGGCTATATGCGATTTACCTGGGGAGAGCGTTGCATTACCGAGGCTATATGTGACTTACCAGGGTATACTTTGATTTACCAAGGAAATGGGGGGGGGGGAGGTCGATTTTTTGCTTTACCGATTATGTACCGTACCGAATGTAGGGTTGGAAATGTAGGTAATACGAAAAGGTGTGGAGTCCCGTGGAGGTGATGAGTGGTGTACAGTGATGTTTATTATGATCACGTGACATTTGTGTGAAGCGTACTCAAGTGACATATACCACCTCCAGCCCACATTATTATAATTTTGGCCGGTTAATATTATTCATCACTTGGTTAAATGTCACATGAGGTGATGTACACCACTCATCATCTTCACGGGACTCCACACCTTTTCGTATCACTCTGGAAATGTAGTCTTACTAATTACTAATTTCACCCCACTTTTCGATTGGCTGGTATAATTAGGGATTGTAAAGTTCGGTCTTGGTCCTAGTCCTAACATGTGGACAGGTCTAATAGATAAGTCCTCGGGATCGAGTCTTAGGACTTGGTCCCAAATAGGTCTTCATATAATAAGCCAAATAGGTCCCAGGACTAGGTCCGAATAGGTTAGGTCCTTATATATTTAAGAAGTTTGAATAGATATTATTGATATTAATATGTAATTAGCCGTATTCAATCAGAATTCCATAACAATCTACATACAAATTATTTATTTGATAACCTAATTATTTTTGTTAAAAGTTAAATAAAAATAAAAGTATTGTTCTTTGTAAGAAATTTTGAAGTGTTTATAACTTCCAAATTAGTAGCCAAATTATTTTGTAAAACGACTATTAAATTTTCTGTGGCACAAATTAAATTAAAATTCACATGTTTATATTTTTGCGATACATTTGAAATCTAACCAATAAAAATAAATATTCGATTTTTTTATTATGATTGATTATTTTTAAAAGCAAAAAAAAAAATTTCCGTGTGATTATTCAAATTTCGCAAAGCCTGCCATGCTTCTGTATACATAAAAAACATCTCTTAATCATTCTGCAATACTGTAATTTGCAATAAATTCATTCACTAAGTAAGCGCATTTAGTACTATATTAAATTCCAATGTCCATCCACATCTGAGTACAATATGTTCATTCCAATATAGTCTGTAATAAACTGGAGTATGGCTTGCATCCCAATGGATAGCATAAGGTACATGGGTGGGTCTGTCATGCTGATTAGTTTCAGGAGTTGCAAGATTTGTAGGATTTAGAGGATGAGGATTTGGACTAAGAATTCAAATCTAATAAGTCAAACCATTTACATTTTCCTCAATAGAAATTTAATTCAATTACCTCCATCCACATATCAGGTGGTGGGCACTGGTTAACAATGGGGCTAACTCTTTCTGGACCTGTTGGCTCTGTGAACCACACACCAACATCAGGTATACGTTCAGTACCTCTAACTATACAAATTGAATTGGTCTCTACACACCAATTTGGATTGAAAAATTAACAAGAGTTTGCTAGCCTGCGATGAACCTTTTCTTTATTAATCTCATCACACTAATATAAAATTGGTAAGATTAATAAATGGTAGATATAGATATGGAAATGAGAATTAAACTTACTTTGATAAACATGTCATTTCCAACTCTCTCAGCTAGATATTTTGCATGTATTGCTTCTAGCACATTTACGTCAACTTGATCCATATATAATTCATAAGGAAGAGTGATCTTGATGACATCTTGATTTTCTTGTTTCTGCTCTTGTTTTTGCAATAATTGATCAATCTTCTCACATATCTATTGTAACCATTTGTCATACTTTTTGCTATTGTTCTTAAATAGTCTTAAACAGCACTTAAATACCTGTCTTATTTTCTGGTTTCCCGAGTTACCTCATTGGACATTTCTACACCTATCATTGCGACACTCATATTTGAAAGAAAAAATAAAATTGCAAACACATCATAGAAAATTGCGAATTTTCCAGAACTTTTATTATGGAGGTAATTGAACGATTAATTATCGGAATATATTAATTGGTTAGGACCTGGTCTAAAAAATTGGACTTAAAAATTTATAGACTTGAATTTTATCAGTCGTTTATTTACTGTACTTTCTCAGAGATAATTTCTAGCAGAAGCAATAGTAGATTTTAGGCAGAACACATTTTGCAATACATGTATCTGATTAGCACCCAGACTTAGAATATGAAAAATTAATTTTAAAAAAATCCCAAGTTACAAATAAAGTTAAATTAAGATTTCTTTTTGATTTGCTAATTGCTTAAACGTTGTAACTTATTTTCCATCTTTCAAGGAAATTTAAAAAGAAGCCATTCGTTATTTTTAGGGTCTCGACATATCGTTCATCGAACCAAGATTTTCGATCAAAATTTGTAAACTTTGAGCATTAAATGATAATATAATTATGCGAAATTGCGCTCCAGAAAAATAATTGTTTAAAAAAACAAATATGATACCAAGTGGAATGCCGAAAAAATAAAATTCCTCATGAGAAAATACTGAGCAAGTTTTCAATGAAAAATTGTTTTGTAACAATGGAAAATCATCCATCATCCTTTATAAGAACGCAAACATACATATTCATTATTATTATCTTACAAAAGATTCTCTCTCCTTGCGCCAAAGGAAACTGTCGAAGATTTTCGACAAATCGGAAGCTCATACATCAGTCTGTTAGAGTACTTTTTGGGGGTATAAGAAGTTTAAGACGACTTTCCTTATCGATATCTTTTTTAAATTTAATTATGAAAATAAGAATATAATCTCATTTTGAATTTTGAATTTATTTCAATCGAAATTTAAATGTTTAACTTGTATAAGCATTATTAATAAATACCTTCTTCAATTGCGAAGAATATGAAGATTTGACGATAAATTAAAGAATTAGGAAGGTACCTAATGATATTTATTCACTTTTTCTGAAATTTTTTCCGAGTATATAAAGAAACGGTTGCAACTTTATATCCACAAATAATTAGTGGCCAAAGTTACTTTTTCGGGATAAACTATATTAAACTCTATCAAAAACAAATTAAAATTTCAACATTAATATAACAAATAATCTACAAAATTTAATTTATCAAAAAAAAAATTGACTCAGAGAAATATATCAAGTCAAAGTACATCCGATGCATCACCGTGGTCAAATTTACAAGGACAAGTAACTTGGTTATATTTATACTGACACAATTGAATTAAATGAGGTTTAGCTTGATTGAACACACACAATTCCAGTTCCAAGAACAAAGCATCCCATAAAGGGACGCCTATGATATATCCGGTTTTAGGACCATTATAAGCAGCAATAAGGTATGTTTCTTCGTTGGTTTCTTTTGTCAACTTCCGGAATAATTAAAAACGATAGTATCAGGTACAAGTATTACAGAGATTAGGAGTAATGGAGTGGGGGACATGGATCGAAAGAAATAGGTTGATGTGGAATTGAATTGATCATGGAATAGCGTAGCTGGGAGATTCTTTGTGAATGTAATGATCGATAACTTGAATTGAAAGTAAATTGAAATCAAAGCCTTTTAATTAAAGAAAAAATGAAGTTTCGTTATTGAATCAACAATTCTTTAAAAATTATGGAGGTTAATTTGCTTTCATGTGAATGTGCCAACCCATTACGACAGCTTTATCCTTGCAAATGTCGTTGTCGCTTCCAAGAAACATCTGACAATTGCGCGGTTCAAACGATTTTTTTCCGGTCGAATTATTGATGATTTTTGGCTTAAAAGGTTATATATTATTATATTCTTCATCCTAATGAGAGATAACGAAGCCTTAAAACAAAAATTCGGTAAAGAAAGGAATTACTACAAATGCTATTATAATGAAATGAAGTTTAGGCCGGAAAAAAAATGGTATTTTTTTTATTGTTTCCTCCTAGACATTCTTCGTTAAAATATTTAATCAAAAACAGATAAAAATAAAATGATTGTTTTTCTAATGATATTTGATATTCAAAAAAAAATTTATAAACAATAATCTTTAATCAAGTACATCATTTTGATTAATGATCTTTGTTAAAAAAAAAAAAATTTTTTTACCTTTTAATATCTGAATTTTAATTTCGGTTATGACCTATCTGAAATTGAATTTAATTCAATTTGTAATTTTTAATGACATATTTTCTTTGCATAAATTAATTAAGTATCGAAGCTAATGGTCTCGAAAAGTAATCTTCATTCTGGTTATAGAGGCGATTTTTGAGAAATTCGTTGTGATCACGTAAAATAAGAAATTTTTAATTGCGATTTTCTCGAGATCACACCCACATATATAAATTATTTGTAAATTACCTTCAATTTTGCATCATATTGCAATCCAATTTCTTTTCTTTATTTTAAAAAAGTAACAAAATTTATGCACTTTAAAATATTAATTTCTTCGGTTGGATGAATTTTTCTCTAACAAATTAATTTAAAAGCTTTAGGAATTTCCTTTTTTCAATAAAAAAAAATTATATATCCTAAATGTGATTCATTAATTGACTAAACCGTTCTTAATCTTCGGTGTTACCAATTCGTTGATCACACGCTTTTAACTAACCATTTGGACAAAGATTTGAACTCGGAAAAATTTAAGGTTAATGATTCCGTGCCGTTGTGGGGTAGCTGTGCCTTTTTAGTGTAGTCAATGTAACAACAAATTTATTGGTACGACAATAAAAATTTTTTTTTGATTATAATCTCTTTTTTTGTTCCGTGATTTTCACTTTCCTTTATTACTATTCTATTTTATTTTTTTATTTCAAAAGATTATTTTTAGATTTTGTAAAATAATCTATATTTTTTTTTTTTATCCAACATGTCACCAGCACCAAAAACATCAAATATTACGATATTAATTGATAATTATGATTCATTCACTTGGAATATTTATCAATACATATCAGAACTTGGTGCACAGGTTCAAGTATTTCGTAATGATGAGACCACAGTTGAACATATAGTCTCAATTAATCCAAAAAATATTATTATTTCACCGGGTCCAGGAAAGCCATCGACAGATTCAGGAATTTCTTTTGATGTCATCTCGTATTTTGCCGGAAAGATTCCGATTTTTGGTGTATGTCTTGGAGAACAATGTATTTTTGAAATATATGGAGGAAAGATTGAATACGCAGGTGAAATTGTACATGGAAAAGTTAGTACAATAACACATGATGGTAAAGGATGTTATCTTAATGTGCCAAAAGATATCAAAGCTACTCGATATCATTCATTAGCTGGACATCCAAATACGGTTCCTGATGAATTGGAAACTACTAGCTGGACGGAATCTGGTGTCTTGATGGGCGTAAGACATCGTGAATTTACGATCGAAGGTGTACAATTTCACCCAGAAAGTATTCTTTCTGAACATGGAAAGGTCATTTTATCGAATTTTCTAAGTCTTCAAGGTGGTAAATGGGAAGATAACCCTGCATTCAGCGTTAAAGCACCTCTGGCAAAAACTGCTGTTATAACAAAACCTGTACAAACTATTCTCGAAAAAATTCATAATCAAAGATTAAAAGATATCGAGTTGGCGAAAGGACAACCAGGTTCTTCACTTAACGATTTAAAGAAATTATTATCTCTTCATGTGGCGCCTCCTCTTATCGATTTCGTTATAAGGATTAAACAAACTTTACCTAAATATCCGTCAATTTTCGCCGAAATTAAACGAGCTTCACCGAGTAAAGGAAATATTGATTTATCGGTCAATGCGGCCGAACAAGCACTTATCTATGCTAAAGCTGGAGCCTCAGTCATTTCAGTATTAACTGAATCTAAATGGTTTAAGGGTACATTGAATGATATGAGGCAAGTTCGTGATGTCTTGTCAACACTCCCAAATCGACCTGCTATCCTAAGGAAGGATTTTATTGTGGATACATACCAGATTATGGAAGCGAGACTTTATGGTGCTGATACAATCCTTCTCATTGTTGCCATTTTATCAGATGAGAAACTTGAAGAATTATACAAATTTTCCAAGAATCTTGGAATGGAACCTTTAGTGGAAGTGAATAACGAAGAAGAAATGAAAAGGGCCGTGAAATTGGGAGCAAAGGTTATTGGAGTAAATAATCGTAACCTTCATACTTTTGATGTCGATATGAACACAACTTCTAGATTAGCTGAATTGGTTCCTGAAGGTGTTATGTTGGTGGCTTTGAGTGGGATTACTGGTCGAGCTGATGTGGTTAGTTACCTTGATCAAGGTGTTTGTGGTTTTTTAATCGGTGAAGCATTAATGAGATCAAAGAACAAACAGGCTTTCGTTAAAGAGATACTTGAATTAAAACAATATGAGGATGTAAATGGAGATAGTGCAACAATATCATTGAAAATCAAAGCACCAAGAAGTCCTTTAGTAAAAATATGTGGAATTTTAACTATTGAAGCAGCCATTGAAGCGGCTGATGCTGGGGCCGATATTATTGGCCTAATCTTTGCAAAATCTAGACGACAAGTTCCATTGGATTTATCATTGGAAATTGTTAATGTTATAAGAGAAATGCAATCAGAAAAGAAAATTGAAATTACTGATGATAAAGATGAGTTGTCACCATATGAAATTCTAACATCATCAAAACAGCATGATTGGTTTAAATTGCATGCTACGAGAATAAGTCGCGCTAGGAAACCTTTGATTGCAGGTGTATTTCAAAATCAGTCACTAGAATATATAACAAAAATCGTTGATATACTTAAATTAGATTTAGTTCAGTTACACGGCGATGAGCCTTCGGAATTGGCAAGATTTATTCCAGTTCCCGTTATTAAAGCTTTTCACATTGATGACAATTTCTCAAATCCTACATTAGTTACACAACCCGGATATAATGCTTTATGTTTATTAGACACAAAACCTACTGGAATCAAACATTCTGGAGGAAATGGACAAATATTTGATTGGGATATTGCATTGAAAATCAAGAAAAGCGTTTCGAATAAATTATGTCTGAAGGGAGAGTTTCCTATCATATTAGCAGGTGGATTGACACCTGAAAATGTTGAAGATGCTGCAAGAAAGGTTAAACCTTTGATAGTTGATGTATCAAGTGGTGTCGAAACAAATGGGGAAAAAGATTTAGACAAAATTAGAGAATTTATAACTAAAGCCAAGTCTGTTGTGTACGACGACGATGAGGAAGATGATGAGGAAGATGAAATTGACGGTGAAGTGAAAAGTGATATTGTTTTGAATGGTGATAAAGAAAAATCCGGCAGTTCACAACCAGATGATTATCAAGAAGAAGAAACCGGAATTGCTCAATAATTAATCTCTTACATTTTATATTTCCGTAATTTTTAGTCTTTTATTATTAAATTTTTTTTTTTTTTTTAAGGAATTCTTATTCATTCTTATTTATTGTATTGCATTTTTTTGGGATTGTATAGAAATTATCATTATAATATTTTCTTGATTTAGAACATATAATTTGTATTACATTTTTTATCTTTTTGTAAAAAATTGATTCCGTTTAAAATTAAACATCACACGATAGCTAATTAAGAAAAAAAATTCACGACCCAATAAAATAAAATTTTATATGTAAAGAATGTTGGTGATCATTAATCGTGGGGGTTTTTTTTGTGTGTTGACATAAAGGCACGTGATGTTTCGTATTTTTTTTCGAATTTTAACCAATTATATTGAGATTAATGACTCTTTTGAAAATCCAGTTGTTAATTCTTTCATCCATTCCAAACAGTATTGAATTAATCTGCTCAAGTCTAAAATATTAGTATGTAGTTGGCGCCTTCATTAACAGTTCCAAACAAGTTCTGCAACTACTGGCTGGTTACGTCATAATGGTTCAACGACTCGTTTAGGAGAGCTTTGGTTTGAGGCGAAACAATAATGATGCTGTAATTCTTTTGCAGATCTGGATCTGGTTGGATAAATGTTCCAATTTGCAAAGAATGTCATGTTAACAAATAATGAAACTATCTTTTATATTGAGAATGAATATAATGAGATTTTTTATATTATCCAATAAATGTTTTAGTAATTGAAAGGAGTATGTATTATTTGCTATTGTAACTTTGAATTTACTTTACACTTTCTTTTTATTCTATTTATTCTAACTTACCTATGATAGATGCGGACAACACTGTATTATGGATCTAAATTGAAATGTAGTAATTTAGATAATTTGCATAGCATTAAAGAATAACTGGCCGTTCTCCTCGAGAATAGCCTAAATAAAAAAAATTAAAGACCTAATGGAGTTCAAGGTTATTGTGGCCGTTAACAATGCCAAGAAAAGGAACTCCCCGCATTAGAATGCTACCATAAGAATAATGTAAGTTTTTCGTTACAGTTCTCAATGAATGCTATTTATATTAATTTAATTATTTCGTTAATTATTATAATAAACAATGCTCTCGTTATAACCTTCAAATTAAAAGGGCAAATTCAAAAACTACAAAAAGAAAAAAAAACATTGGACGTTTTGCTATTAAAATCACGTTATCTCATAACTCGATTTTAATAGCAAACGAGAGCTCAATCAAAAATGTCGGAGAATTCTGAGAAGATTGAATGGATGTTGGCTCTTTACTGCTCAAAGACATACTAGTTGAAATCCACGTCATGTGATACAATCGTCCTTGATTAATAATCTATATTTACTCTTTTATATTCTTTTTGGATTATTCATTTTCTTATAATTAGGATAGTAGTTTGACTTGAAAGATAGAGTTTGGTTTTATTGCAGAATGACAGTAAATCACAAAAAATCAATATTATTTTTCAAATACCAGATATTTCTTTTACAATATTCTTTAGCATTTTTTTGGAGGGCAACTGCATATATAAATATATATAAACTCAATTTTAATTATTTTATCTTTATTTATATTTAAAAAATTATAAATTATTGAAGTGTTTTAAATAATTAAATAAATTTTTATAGAATAAACATTATTATTAAATTATTAAATTACTTAAAAAAAATATTATTAAATACTTTATTTTAATTGATATAATTTAAAAGATCATTAAAAGTAATAATAAATTATAATGTTATTTCATTTACTAAAATGATTGTTTTATTGTTTTTTTAAAAAAATAATTGATTATATTATTTTTTTAAAATGATTTTATTATATTCTAAGAATGAATGTTTTCTATCATTTCTTAAATTATGTATTTATAATTATTAAATTAATTTTTTATTACTTTTTTTACTTTTAATATTATTTCTTTAAAATATTATTATTATTATTATTATAAAAAGTTAGTAAAAATTTAAAATTAAATCAATTTGATTGATTTGATTTATTTAGTTTTTTATTATTTTTAATAAGTTTTATTATAAATTATAATATCAAATCTATTAATATTATTAACATTGTCATTGGAAATAATTCTCTTTCTATCGCACGTGTTTCGCTAAGTTACTTTACTGCGGTAAGTAAATTCATTATCATTGAACTTTACAATCTTAGGGAATCTCACATCCTATAGATATCTGAAATGCCTTAGAATTACTTTGCTTAACTTTACGAACTTAAAGGTTTAGGGACTTAGAAAAACGTAGAAAATTTGTTTATTCTAAGTGACGAATTCAATCGCAAGTTAGTGTAGTGATTCACAATCAAATCCTAGATGATGAATATGTAAAAGGGAAAAGGAATTGTTTTTTAAAGTTGATTCCTTTATTTATTACTTGAACTTGTAATAAACTGAAACTCATAATAGAGTTAAAACCCACAAATAAGTTAGTTTACAACTTGAGCAAAAAGCTATTCTATTTATACAAAATTAATTTACTACAACTAACTAGTTGCTAAATTATAAACTAACTAAATTTGTAACTTTAAAATACTAATATAATAATAATAATAATAATAACAAAGATAATAATTATAATAGAGATAATAATAATAATAAAAATAATAAAGATAGCGATAATAACTAAATTAATGAAAATATTGTGAATTAGGAAAATCTAATAAATCATGATGATTATGCAAATCTGTTAAATTCTAAGAATTCTAAGAATCCTATAGATTTTGCAGATCATTCAGCACAGTATTCATTAAACTTATTATGTCATTATTCCATTGATTACAAATAATTAGTGTAGTAAATCCTATAAATAATATGTATAAGAAAAGTATACAGAAATAATACGTTTAAAAAACGTATAATAAATATAAAAAACAGTATAATAAATTCGTAAATATTTCTGTATACTAGATACTGAAAATCATCTTTTTCCGTATGCAAAAAATACTGAATTTATACGTCTAATCAGTATAATGTATACGTAATTTTTGTTAAATTTTATATGTCAAATTAGTATATTATATACGTTATTTTGGTTGCATTTTTTATGTTTAATCAGTATATTGTATATGTTATTTTTGGTTGCATTTTTTACGTCTAATCAGTATATTGTATATGTTATTTTT